ATAAAGAGAGAAATGCCACAAAGAAGAGGGAGTCAAGCTATTCTCCAAAGTGCCTGAAGGCAGGACAAGAAGCAACGGATGGAAACTCATCAAGGAGAGAAGCAACCTAGAACTAAGGAGAAACTTCCTGACAGTTAGAACAATTAACCAGTGGAACAATCTGCCTCCAGAAGCTGTGAATGCTCCAACGCTGGAAGTTTTTAAGAAGAGACTGGACAGCCATTTGTCTGAAATGGTATAGGGATTTCCTGCCAGAGCAGGGGGTTGGACTAGATGACCTCCAAGGTCCCTTCCAACTTTATTACTACTATTACTATTATTATTTTATGGATCATCGCACAGTCAGCCAGATGTTCAGACTGGATTTGGCATTTTGTCTACCTATCGAGTCCTTACCCAGGACCTGGGATAGGCAGATGTGGATGTTTGATGGTATTACAGGTATTGTCGCAGGATAGAAGCAGTTCCTAGTAAGGCCGCCTTTTGCAATTGACTAATAGCAAATTTGTCAATGCCAATGGTGTTCAAGTGGTGCTCCAGTTGTTTTGGGATTGCACCCAAGGAGCCTATGACTATTGGTACTACCCTTGCTTGCTTTTGCCACAGTCTTTCTATTTCTATTTGTAGGTCTTTGTATTTTGTTGCTGTTGTTGTTGTTGTTGTTATTATTATTATTAAATAGGCTGTTCAATTACATTTCTAAAATATGGAGTTTCCCATTTTATGAAGATCTTTGATTCTTTGGGGCTTAGCAAAAAGGAAGACCTTACAGAAAGAAACTTATCCTCTTGATATTAAGAAACGGATCTGGGACATGAATGTCTCATGTATTTTGAAAAGCCCCTCCATTTTAAAAATGAGAAGATGGAACAGTATGTCTTTACATGGCCTAGATTTAAGAACAAGCTTCAGGACTGAAGTAATTCCATATTGATACAAACCAGTATAATATGCATCTTTTTCATTCATTCTTTTTTCCATTCTATTCTGTTTTATTTATTTGAATCACTATAATGAATGTATTTTTTAAAAAAATAATCACCCTGTATTTGGTTGGTGCAATTGATTGCAATTGTTTTTGATTATATATTGAAATAATTGACTTTTTTTTTTTTGAAAGGAAGAGACTTTTCCTTCAACTATTCCAGGGGTTCTCAACCTTGGCAACTTTAAGACTTGTGAACTTCAACTCCCAGAATTCCTCAGCCAGCAAAGCTGGCTGAGGAATTCTGGGAATTGAAGTCCACAAGTCTTAAAGTTGCCAAGGTTGAGAACCCCTGAACTATTCAGATTTTTTTCCACCTCAGAAAATATCTTGTAAAGCAACTGTTACAGATCAACCTGATTCTGGAGACTCAGAGTTTCAGTGTTAGCCTGAACCCCGAAAATGTGGTGATGCATTGTTGTGGTGGGAAGCATGTGAGGGCACCCAGTTGTGGGGTGTGTCAGCTGCCACAGAGTTAGGCAAAGACGTTAGCCCAGCCACACACTCAAACCCGTGAAAAGAAGGGCAAAGAAATTCCATTCGTCTTTGGCAAAACTGAAGTGATACAGGCAATTAGTCAAGTTAGGGCTATGTGACTGGGTGACTTTGAACCAATCACCAGGAGACTGTGAGTTCTAGTCCTGCCTTAGGGATGAAAGCTGGCTGGGTGTCTTTGGGCCAATCACCAGTAAATTGTGAGTTCTAGTTCCGCCTTAGGGATATAAGATGGCTGGGTGACTTTGGGCCAATCACCAGGAGACGGTGAGTTCTAGTCTCACCTCAGGCACAAAAGCCCACTGGGTGACTTTAGTCCAATCACCTGGAGACTGGGAGTTCTAGTTCTGCCGTAGGCACAAAAGCCCACTAGGTGACTTTGGGCTAATCATCAGGAGATTGGGAGTTCTAGTCCTGCCTCAGGCATAAAAGCCATCTGGGAGACTTTAGTCCAATCACCTGGAGACTGTGAGTTCTAGTTCTGCCTTAGGCACAAAAGCCCACTGGGTGACTTTGGGCCAATCATCAGGAGATTGGGAGTTCTAGTCCCGCCTCAGGCATAAAAGCCATCTGGGAGACTTTAATCCAATCATCTGGAGACTGTGAGTTCAAGTTCTGCCATAGGCACAAAAGCCATCTGGGTGACTTTGGGCCAATCTTCAGGAGACTGAGAATTCTAGTCCCGCCTTAGGCACAAAAGCCATCTGGCGGACTTTAGTCCAATCACCTGGAGACTGTGAGTTCAAGTTCTGCCGTAGGCACAAAAGCTGTCTGGGTGACTTTAGTCCAATCAACTGGAGACTGTGAGTTCTAGTCCCGCCTTAGGGATGAAAGCTGGCTGAGTGACCTTGGGCCAATCACCAGTAAATTGTGAGTTCTAGTTCTGCCTTAGGGATATAAGATGGCTGGGTGACGTTGGGCCAATCATTCTCTCTCAGCCCAACCCACCTCGCTTTGATCTCACGGTTGGGGCTGCCATCTTGATTTTTTTTTTTAACCCATTCTGATCTGGGATCTGCCTATTCTGGCACTTCTTGAATTTGAGATTTATCTTTTTAGAGCAGTGGTTCTCAACCTTTTTAATGCCGCGACCCCCCAACCGGTCGTAAGTTGAGGACTACTCAACCGGTCGTAAGTCGAGGACTACTCAACTGGTGCAGCACCGTTTGCAGACTGGGACTTTTGGCGGGCTCAGCAGGGCAGAGACAGCCTGGACAATCCCTATTGGCTTTGGAAAGCCAATAGAATTAGACTCTATTCAAGAGAGTCTATTCTATTGGCTTTCAAAAGCCAATAGAATAAAAGGGAGTAGCACAGCTAAGGAAAAGGGGGGAAAAAATGGCAGACTGCGTTGTTTGGCAACCCCCGTGAAATGGTCGTTCGACCCCAAATGGGGTTCTGACCCACAGGTTGAGAACCACTGTTTTAGAGTCTCTTGTGAAAACAAGAACCCTATTTCTTCCACCCTGAGTACGAACAATTTACAGACTTTTGAGTTTGTGATCCGAAGCCCACACTCTGTAGGGTGTGTGTGTGTGTGTGTGTTTGTGTGTGTGTGTAACGGGCAGCCCCGAATGGCGGCCCTCAGATCTTTCCATCATGTTCTGAGGCTCCATTAATTAACGCTCTTAAGGCAATTTGGAATCAGCAGATGAGGAACGCCAAATGATTGGGATTGGATCGTGATTCGTGCCACTTTGCCGAAGCCAGCAGCTCGGCGTAATTTATGTTCTGCCGAGGCTGATAATTTGACATATGATAATGCGTATCATTCAAATTACGGCTTAATTTAGCACAAATGAATATCGGAGTGTTAGTTCTATTTCTCCCATCAGCCCCAATTAAGGGACCGTTTGCTAAGAAAGTCCACTCTGTCATCCGGGAAGAAGGTTAAGCTTCCGAATGGAATTCAGGACACGGATCCGGACCGGGCCTAGTTTGAGTCTGAGGTCACGAGAATGGCCTGCCAGTTGAGGGACGAAGCGTGTAAGCTAAGTGTTGGTGCACGCATCTGAGAAAGTCTCGGTCTTTGGGTGTTCCATTTTCAAAGGAAAGAAGATGGATTTCTTGCAGACGTCTCATGATCGAACTAGGTAACGTCATCAGTGCTAGAAGGGAGTGAGGTTTGCAGGGAGGAGGAGGAGGGGGAGGAGCAGGAGAAGCAGGAGGAGCAGGAGGAGGGGGAGGAGGACAAGGATGACAAGGACTATGGAGTCCTTGGTGCTCTCTGAGCTTAGTTCTTTTTTTTTGGCAGACATTTCATTATCCAAACTAGGTAACATCATCAATGCTAGTAGGCAGGAAGAGGAGAAGGAGAAAGAGAAGGAGAAGAGGACATCAGTGCTAGTAGGGAGTGGGGAGGAGGAGGAGGAGGAGGAGGAGGAGGAAGAGAAAGAGGAGGAGAAGGACTCTGGGGTCCTTGGTGCTCTCTGAGCTTGGTGGTTTTCTTGCAGACATTTCATGACCGAACTAGGGAACATCATCAGTGCTAGAAGGGAGTGGGGGGGAGGAGAAGGAGAAGGAGGACTGAGGACTCCTTGGTGCTCATTGAGCTTGACGTTTCATTACAAAATTAGGTAACATCATCAGTGCATCATTATAGCACTGATGATGTTACCTAGTTGGGACATGAAACATCTGTAAGAAAACAATTGAGCTCAGATACCCAGGATCCCACAGCCCTCCTCCTCCTCCTCCTCCTCCTTCTCCTCCTCTCTTCTAGCATGATGTTGCCTAGTTGGGTAATGAAATGTCTGCAAGAAAACCGCTAAGCTCAGAGAGCACCACGGACCCCACAGCCATCCTCCTCCTCCTCCTCTTCTTCTTCTTCCTCCTCCTCCTCCTCCTCCTCCTCCCATCTAGCACTGATGATGTCACCTAGTTGGGACATGAAACATCTGCAAGAAAACCACCAAGCTCAGAGAGCACCCAGGACCCCACAGTCCTCCTCCTCCTCCTCCTCTTCTTCTTCTTCTTCCTCCTCCTCCTCCTCTTCTTCTTCTCCTCCTCCTCCTCCTCCTCCTCCTCCTCCTCCTCCTCCTCCTCCTCCTCCTCCTCCTCCTCCCTTCTAGCACGATGTTGCCTAGTTGGGTAATTAAATGTCTGCAAGAAAACCACTCTCAGAGAGCACCACGGACCCCACAGTCCTCCTCCTCCTTCCTCCTCCTCCCTTCTAGCATTGATGATGTTACCTAGTTGGGTCATGAAATGTCCGCAAGAAAACAACCAAGCTCAGAGAGCACCAAGGACCCCACAGTCTTCCTCCTCCTCCTCTTCTTTCTCCTCCTCCTCCTCCTCCTCCTCCTCCTCCTCTTGTACCTCCTCCTCCTCCTCCTCCTCCTTCTCCTCCTCCTCCTCCCTTCTAGCACTGATGATGTTATCTAGCTGGGTCATGAAATGTCCGCAAGAAAACAACCAAGCTCAGAGAGCACCAACGACCCCACAGTTCAGCCCTGAGTTAGAAATATTCTCTTCCATTGATGCGTAATTGCTCTTAATTCTTAACTTGTCTTTCCTCCAGGTAGCTTCTGGCAAGCATGGACTGGCAACTTTGGGGACTGGCTCTCTATCTCCACGTGGCTTTCTCAGCTTCTTGGGACTGTGTCTCTCGGTGTTCCCTGTGTGTCCTTCACAGCCAGGATGCAGAGAAGCCCATCGACCCGCTAGTAAGTTACAGCAGAGGTTGGCCACAACACTGGAAACTCATCAAGGAGAGAAGCAACCTAGAGCTAAGGAGAAACTTCCTGACAGTGAGAACAATTAACCAGTGGAACCACCTGCCTCCAGAAGCGGTGAATGCTCCAACACTGGAAGTTTTTAAGAAGAGACCAGACAGCCATTTGTCCGAAATGGTATAGGCTTTCCTGCCTGAGGAGGGGGTTGGACTAGATGACCTCCAAGATCCCTTCCAACTTTATCATTATTATTATTATTATTATTATTATTAGTAGTAGTAGTAGTAGTAGTAGTAGTAGTAGTAGTAGTAGTAGTGCTGTTTTGCCAAGGGTCAAGACAGGGATTAGGTGCCCAGGCAATTGGTTCTGTTGGATCTAGGCTGACATACCCAATTCCAGCAGCCTTTTCTTTGGAGAATAGCTTGACTCCCTCTTCTTTGGGGCAGCCCCTGAGATATTGGAAGACTGCTATCCTGTCCCCCCTCGTCCTTCTCTTCATTAAACTAGACCTACCCAGTTCCAGCAACCGTTCCTTATATGCTTTACCCTCCAGTCCCCTAATCATCTTTATTGCTCTTCTCTGCACTCTTTCTAGAGTCTCAGCATCTTTTTTACATCGTGGTGACCAAAACTGGATGCCCCTTTCCCAGTGTGGCCTTACCAAGGCCTTGTAAACTGGTATTAAGAAGCCCAGCACAGCAGCCAAACCTGTTGAATTGACACCGCCATACATATTTAAAAAGAGGAAGGGTTTAATTGTACGGCCAGAGCCACCATTTTGAGTTTTTATGACCATCCCTGTCTGCACAAGTTTCAGAAGGGTGGAAAAGCATATTACAGGAGACCCCATCCTCACCCATAGCATCCTTGGCTATCTTGGCCACCAGAAAGAAAGTTCAAAATTAACCGCCCCCCCCCCAAAAAAAAATTAGAAAGAAATTCTCCAGCATCCTGAGAATAAAGTAGAAAACCGGAAGCCAAGCCGATTTTTGTTCCATGTGATGGCTAGGAGGTCCCTGGGGTCCCAAATAAAGACAATGCATTGTTGTAAACCACCCACACTCCTATGAGTGTGATAGGTAATGCAGGAGCTTAATAAAGAAATAAAATACAGGTCGACTTACAACCACAGCTGAGCCCAAAATTTCCGTTGCTAAGCAAGTCACTTGTGAAATGAGTTTTGCTCCATTTTACGACCTTCCTTGCCACAGTTGTTAAGTGAATCTCTGCAGTTGTTAAGCTAGTAACCCGGTTGTTAAGTGAATCTGGCTTCCCCCAGGGACATTGCTTCTCAAAAGGTCGCAAAAAGGGATCGCACGACACGACAACCGTCATAACTATGAGTTAGTGGCCAAGCGGCTCAATTTTCACCACGTGACCACGGAGGGATGCTGCAATGGGTTGTAAGAGTGAAAAACCAGTTGTTAAGTCCCTTTTTTCAGCGCTGCTGTAACTTCAAATGGTCACCCAACGAACGGTCGTAATTTGAGGACTGCCTGTAATTCTCTTGGCTTTTTTTTTTTTTTGCAGCGCTGCGCTTTGGGGTGCCAAGGTAGCTTGGGATCCAGTGTTGAATGGCGTAAATGTGAGCGACTTTTCTCGGTCTTAACTTCGTTTCCGATGGAGGAGGATGACACTGGCAGATCCCAGGTGAGTGTGAAAAGATATTAATACACACACAATATTGAAAGTTGACCAGATTTACCTCAGTTTTAGGAAGAATACCGCAGACAGCAATGTGAGGGAAAGGCCTAGTAAGAGGGCTTGTCTGAAGAGGCCTGAAATCAGGTGGTCCTCAACTTACGACAGTAATGGAGCCTGCCCCTTTCAGGTGGTCCTCGACGTAACGACCGCAAGGGAGCCCAGAAATTTCTTAAGTGAGCCTGGCCCCACTTTACAATGTTTTTTGCCCCGTTTGTTAATAATAATAATAATAATAATAATAATAATAATAATAGACAAAATGCCAAATCCAGTCTGAACATCTGGCTGACTGTGCGATGATTGATAATAATAATAATAATAATAATAATAATAATAATAATAATAATAATAATAATAATAATAATAATATGTCGCCCAGACTGACTACAAGCAGCGTCATGACAAAGTAGCAACAGTGGTGCATTGGAAGATCTGCAAAAAAATATCATTTGCCTGTAAGCAAAAACTGGTGGGATCATAAAATAGAGAAAGTCATAGAAAATGATAAAATTAAACTGCTCTGGGACTTCAGAATTCAAACAGACAAGCACCTGCAACATAACACCCCAGACTTAACAATTGTCGATAAGAAAGACAAAAAAGTCTGGATCGTGGATGTGGCAGTGCCTGGAGACAGCAGAATAGACGAGAAAGAACTGGAGAAGATAACAAAATACAAAGACCTACAAATAGAAATAGAAAGACTGTGGCAAAAGCAAGCAAGAGTAGTACCAATAGTCATAGGCACCTTGGGTGCAATCCCAAAACAACTGGAGCACCACTTGAACACCATTGGCATTGACAAATTCGCTATTAGTCAGTTGCAAAAGGCGGCCTTGCTAGGAACTGCTTCCATCCTGCGACGATGTCTGTAATACCATCAAACACCCACATCTGCCTATCCCAGGTCCTGGGTAAGGACTCGATAGGTAGACAAAAATGCCAAATCCAGGCTGAACATCTGGCTGACTGTGCGATGATCCAAAATAATAATAATAATAATAATAATAATAATAACAACAACAACAACAACAACAACAACAACAACAACAATAAAGTTGGAAGGTACCTTGGAGGTCATCAAGTCCAACCCCCTGCTCAGGCAGGAAACCCTATCCCATTTCGGACAAATGGCTGTCCAGTCTCTTCTTAAAAACTTCCAGTGTTGGAGCATTCACCGCTTCTGGAGGCAGCTTGTTCCACTGGTTAATTGTTCTAACTGTCAGGATTGGGACACACCAGCAGCATTTTCTCTCGTCAGCATGAAAAAATGGTCATAAAATCGGGTTGGTGATATGACATACCGACCAATGGTGGGATTCAAATACCTGAATAACTAGTTCTCTTATTGGATGCAGGCCTGGACCTCCAAGGCCTAGAACGGACTTCCGGAAGTGGCATCCATGCACTTCCGGTGGGCCATTCTAGGCCTGGGAGGCCTCCTCCCTGCCTCCTAGAATGGACTTCCAGAATTGGTATCCATGCACTTCCGGTGGGCTGTTCTAGGCCTGGGAGGCCTCCTCCCTGACTCCGAGGCCTAGAACAGATTTCCAGAAGTGGCATCCATGTACTTCCTGTGGACCGTTCTAGGCCTGGAAAGCCTCCTCTAGGCCACTGAGGCCTAGACTGGATTTCCGGAAGCAGTGTGCATTCAGCTGGTTCTCTGAACTCAGTAAAATTTAGCTACCGGTTCTGCTGAACCGGTGTGAACTGGCTGAATCCCACTACTGATACCGACCCATTTCACCACTGCCCTAACATATGACGGTAATGGGCAGGCTCCATTACAATCATATGTTGAGGACTATCTCTAAGCAAAGGGCCAGGGTAATAGCAGCCAGGTGGCTATACGTAATCCTCGATTTACAACAATTCATTTAGTGACCGTTGGAAATCACAACGGCATGGAAAAAAGAGACTTAGGACCATTTTTCTCTCTTACGACGGTTGAAGTGTCCCCCACGGTCACGTGATCAAAAGAAAGATAGTAAAACGGGGCAAAATTTATTAAGTCTCACTTAGCAACAGAAACTTGGGACTCCATTGTGGTCGTAAGTTGAGGACTACGCATAGCCACCTGGCTGCTATTACCCTTGCCCTTTGCTTAGAGATAGTCCTCAACATATGACTGTAATGGAGCCTGCCCATTACCGTCATATCTTGGGGCAGTGGTGAAATGGGTTGGTATGTCATCTCACCGACCCGATTTTATGACCATTTTTCCACAGGCCGTTAAATGAACACTGGTCGTTAAGCAAAGCCATTTTTTCACTGGAAATAAATGCTGATTTTCAGCAAAGCCATTGTAAAACATGACCACAGACTCTGTGTACACATGAAACCGCGTGTGTTGTATTGTGTTGTGTTGCCGAGTGCCCAAAATGTGGTTATATGACCATGGAGGGTGTGTGTGTGTGAAACAATTGGAAATTCTGAAGCGGTTTGTTACCCAACCTGAGAAGCCTCATTGAGAGCCGCTGCTATAGATGTCTAGACTTGGGCTTTGTCCCTCTTCTTCTGAGTGCTCCAGCTGACCAGGAGATGCTGGGGATGATCAGCCTCCATGGGATCCTGACTTCTTGATTCCTGAGGCTGACCAGCCAGAAGAACAGGCTCAGCACAGTCAGATTCCAGGTCAGAGTCAGACTTTGAATTGTGGCTTATAACATGAGGAAAGAGTTGGCCCGCCTCTGGAACAGGTTGATGATGAATATGGCTCAACACTTCTTTTCTTTTTTTCTCTCTTCTCTTCCATTTTTTCTCCCCTCCTCCTCTCCCCTCCTCTTCTCCTCTCCTCCTTCCTTCTTATATTCTATTTCCTTCCCTCTTCTCTTCTCTTCTCTTCCCTCTGCTCTGCTCCTTCCTTCTTATTTTATATTTCCTTCTCTTCTCTTCTCTTCTTTTCTCTTTTTTCTTCTTTTCCCTCTTCTCTTCTCTTCTCTTCCCTCGGCTCTGCTCTCCTCCTTCTTATTTTATATTTCCTTCTCTCTTTTCTCTCCTCTCCTCTTCTCTTTTCTTCTCTTCTCTTCCCTCTGCTCTGCTCCTTCCTTCCTATTTTATATTTCCTTCTTTTCTCTTTTCTCTTCTTTTCCCTCTTCTCTTCCCTCGGCTCTGCTCTCCTCCTTATTTTATATTTCCTTCTCTCTTTTCTCTCCTCTCCTCTCCTCTTCTCTTCTTCTCCTCTTTCCTTCTTACATTATATTTCCTTCTCTCTTCTCTTCTCTTCCCTCTGCTCTGCTCTCCTCCTTCCTTCTTATTTTATATTTCCTTCTCTCTTCTCTTCTTCTCCTCTTTCCTTCTTACATTATATTTCCTTCTCTTCTCTTCTCTTCTCTTCTCTTCTCTTCCTTCTTATATTATATTTTCTCTTCTCTTCTCCTCTTCTCTTCTCTTCTCTCTGCTCTGCTCTCCTCCTTCCTTCTTATTTTATATTTCCTTCTCTCTTCTCTTCCTTCTCCTCTTTCCTTCTTACATTATATTTCCTTCTCTTCTCTTCTCCTCTTCTCTTCCTTCTTATATTATATTTTCTCTTCTCTTCTCTTCTCTCTGCTCTGCTCTCCTCCTTCCTTCTTATTTTATATTTCCTTCTCTCTTCTCTTTTCTTTTCTTCTCCTCTTTCCTTCTTACATTATATTTCCTTTTTCTTCTCTTCTCTTCTCTTCCCCTTCCCTCCCCTCTCTCCTCCTCCTCCTCTTCCTCTCCCCTCCCCCATTTTCTCCAACAGAGTGTCCTCACCAAGGGAGATGTCAGCCACTCCTACGGGGGCTTCTTCCAGAGGACCGGGGAGAGGATAGGCCCAGAGCCAGAGGCAGATGAAGACAATCTAGAGATGCTGGATATTAGAGATGTGGTCTCTCGCCGAGAGGGAGAACCAGATCTGAGCTCTCTCAAGGCGGAGAGGAAACGCTACGGAGGCTTCCTCCGCAAATTCCCCAAGCGAGGCTCCGGGGTGGTGGGTACTGAGGAGCAGGAGGAAGAGGAGGAGGAGGAGGAGGAGGAGGAGGAAGAGGATGGGAGTGACCTGGAGGAGCTACAAAAACGTTACGGGGGCTTCATGCGCAGGATCCGTCCCAAACTCAAGTGGGACAAGCAGAAACGCTACGGCGGGTTCCTGCGCCGCCAGTTCAAGGTGACCACAAGATCAGCAGGAGGGCCCAAGGCCACCTCCGAGGAGCTGGCTGACCTATAAGAGGCCCAGATGATGGCAGCCCAGTCTTCCTCCTCCTCCTCCTCCTCTTCCTCCTCCTCCTCCTCCTCCTCCTCCTCTTCCTCCTCCTCCTCCTCCTCCTCCAGCTGAAACCCTTCCCCAAATCACGGAGACCCCTCCCCCTCAACCCCTGGCCCCTAGCTTTCCCCTTCCCTGTGCCAGCCAAGCCACGCAGAGAGCCCCTGCGAATCTGACCAAGAAGGAAAAGTATAAACCAGCATTGGTGGCTTAAGAGTCAAATGTGCTTCTTAGATTGGTGGGGTGGGCTTAGTTGGACCCCTGGCTGCATTTATACAACGAGCTAAGCTTGATTAGGTGAAATCTTATTTTTGGGGGGGCGGAGGGGGTTCATTTTTCTGCTTTTCAAAGATGTCTATAAAACGGGCATCTCCATCCTTTAGAATAGAATAGAATAGAATAGAATAGAATAGAATAGAATAGAATAGAGCTGGAAGGGACCTTGGAGGTCTTCTAGTCCAGCCCCCTATTCAAGCAGGAGAACCTATACCGTCTCAGACAGGTGAATGTCCAGTCTCTTCTTAAATATCTCCAGTGATGGAGCGCCCACAACTTCTGGTGGCAAGCTGTTCCACTGGTTGATTGGCCTCACTGTCAGGAAGTTTCTCCTTAATTCCAGGTTGCTTCTCTCCTTGCTCAGTTTCCAACCATTGTTTCTCGTCCTTCCCTCTGGTGCTCTGGTGAACAACCTGACTCCCTCTTCTTTGTGGCAGTCCTCAAATACTGGAATGCTGCTATCCTGTCTGCCCTATTTCTTCTTTTCTTTAGATTAGCCAAACCCAAGTCCCGCAGCCGTTCTTCGTATGGTTTGGTCTCCAGGCCTTGGATCACCTTAGTTGCTCTTCTCTGAACTTTTTCCAAACTCCCAACGTCTTTTTTGCGATAAGGTGACCAAAATTGGCTGCAGTATTCCAGGCGTAGAATTTCGACTTTAAGTGGAATTTCAACTTTAAGACGTGTGGGTTTCAACGCCCACAATTCCCCAGCCAGCCCACAGGTCTTAGAAGGGCCAAGGTCTCAAAGATTTTTCTAAAGTTCATCCTCGATTTACGACGCCACTGAGGTCAGAATCTCTGTTGCGGTTGTTCGGTTCAGTTGTGCCTGATTTTTACAGTCATGTTTTCCCCCGCAGCTGTTAAGTAAAACAATGCAGTCATTAAGTGAATCTTGCCGTCGTTAAGCGAAAAACAGCTTCTCCCATTGACTACTTGTCAGAAGCCAGCCGGGATGCTGCAACCGTCGTAAATAGCTGCACCTTGCCAAGGGCCCAAATTTTGATCATGTGTCCATGGAGATGCTGCAACGGTCATAAGTTCGAGGACCAGTCCCTTCTTTCAGTTTTCTTGTAATTTTGAATGGTTCCTAAACCAACGGTTGTAAATGGAGGACTATTTGTATGATATTCCGGCCAAATTAGGCCACAATACTAACAATTAATATTAGCTGCTAGAACAATAAAGTGGAACAACCTGCCTCCAGAAGTTGTGAATGCTCCAACAATGGACGTTTTTAAGAAGAGATTGGACAGCCATTTGTCTGAAATGGGTATAAGTCCAGCCACCTGCTCAGGCGGGAAACCCTATACCATTTCGGACAAATGGCTGCCCAGTCTCTTCTTAAAAACTTCCAGTGTTGGAGCATTTACTGCTTCTGGAGGCAGGTTGTTCCACAGATTAATTGTTCTCACTGTCAGGAAGTTTCTCCTTAGTTCTAGGTTGCTTCTCTCCTTGGTTAGTTTCCCTCAGTTGCTTCTTGTCCTGCCTTCAGGCGCTTTGGAGAAGAGCTTGACTCCCTCTTCTTTGGGGCAGCCCCTGAGATATTGGAAGGCTGCTATCATGTCCCCCCTCGTCCTTCTCTTCATTAAACTAGACATACCCAATTCCAGGGTATGTTTTAGCCTCCAGTCCCCTGATCATCTTTGTTGCTCTTCTCTGTACTCTTTCTAGAGTCTCAGCATCTTTTTTATATCATGGTGACCAAAACTGGATGCAGGATTCCAAGTGTGGCCTTACCAAGGCCTTGTAAAGTGGTATTAACACTTCACCTGATCTTGATTCTATCCCTCTGTTAATGCAGCCCAACACAGTGTTGGCTTTTTTGGCAGCTGCAGCACACGGCTGGCTCCTGTTTAAGTGATTGTCCACTAGGACTCCGAGATCCCTCTCACAGTTGCTACTATTGAGCAAGGTAGCACCCATACTATATTTTGTATATTCTATAATGTTTGTAAGTTGAGGACTAACTGTATGAAATTGTTTTATTCACCGCGCTGCCATCACAGATTATGCTCGGAAAAAAAAGCTGTCAAGTGATTTGTTCATTTTTCCCGCAGCCGCAGAGATGATTGAAGTGGGTTTCGCACCCTTTGCAAAGGAATCAACTGATCCTGACTTGTGATTTTGTGCGTCGTAGGCCCTTTGACCTGCTGTGTGAAGGAATAGCTTCATCTGAGCTCCGTGGCTCTAAGCCTCACCCTCTTGAACAACATGCCAAGCCTTGATTGACAAGCCATCATAGTTGGATGTAGCTCGCAAAGTGGCTTCATGTGGCCCGCGAAGCCATCCTGGAAACAGTGAGGGAACGGCCCCCACTGCCTTGGCCCTGGCCCAGGCTGGCCGGGAGCCAATGTACAATTTTGTGGTGGCCATCTTGGCACTTGCCCCGGTGGACCACGCCTTGGCGCTTGCCCCGGTCCCACCCGCTTCTGCCAGAGACCCTCAGATCTGTCCTACTCCTGCCCAGGCCCCCACAGGCACCCTTGATGCGAATGATGTAGAGCTGGCCACGCCCACCCAGTAGGCCACACCCACTCCATCCATGCCCACCCAGTAGGCCAGTGTTTCCCAAACTTGACAATTTTAAGGCATGTGGACTTCAATTCCCAGAATTCCACAGCCAGCGTTGCTGGCTGTGGAATTCTGGGAGTTGAAGTCCTCATGCCTTAAAATTGTCAAGTTTGGGAAACACTGCAGTAGGCCGCACCCATCCTGGCCACAACCCCCCCCCCAGGGCAACTGCAATGCTGATGCGGCCCTCAATGAAATTGAGTTTGACACTCCTGCTCTTATGTGACGAGGCCCCCAGTCCGCCATTGTCCTCCTCCATCCCTCTCCATCTCCATCGAGGGCTTCTGAGGTCAATTTCTTTTTAATTCCACCACCGTAACGAGGTCTCTCGGCTTGCTTTTATCCAGGCTAAACTCTGGCTTGCTGTACAGGTGGTCCTCAACTTACAACCGTTTGTTTAGCGATGGTTCAAAGTTACCTCAGCGCTGGCAAAAAAACCGACTTGCGACCATTTTTCAAACGCTTATGATCACTACGGTGTCCCCAGGGTCACACGATCAGAAGTCAGATGTTTGGCAACTGACTCATATTTATGACGGTGTCCCGGGGTCTGGCGATCCACTTTTGTGACCTTCTGACAAGATTCGCTTAACAACCATGGGACTCATTTAACAACTGCAGTCGCTCACTTAACAAATGTGGCCAAAAAAGTCATAAAAACGGGGCAAAACTCAACCCATGTCTCACTTAGCAACATAAATGCTGGGCTCAGTTGGGGTCGTTAAGGCGAGGACTACCTGTAATGTGAAAAATAAACGGGCTTTCCCCCCCTCCCTCTAAGCGACTGGCGATCGAATACAGGCAGTCCTCAACTTATAAGCATTCATTTAGTGACCATTCAAAGTGGCATTGGAAAAAGTAATCTATGATTGGTTTTCCCACTTGTGACCATTGCAGCCTCCCCAGGGTCATGTGATCAGAATTCGGACTCTTGGCAACTGACTCGTCCTTATGACGGTTGCAGTGTCCCGGGCTCACGTGATCTCCTTTTGTGAACTTCTGACAAGCAAAGCCAGAGTCGCTTAACGACCGTGTTACTCACTTAACAACTGCAGAGATTCACTTAACAACTGTGGCAAGAAAGGTCATAAAGTGGGGCAAAACTCACTTAACGACTGTCAATTGTGGTCGTAAGTCAAGGACCACCTGTAGCTCCCCTTCCTTTCTGCAAGAGGCCATTAGAGTGGTGCTTGAAAAAATCCAGCCATTTTGGATCTCTGCTGCCATCTAGAGGTTTGTGGTGAGACATGCTTTTTTTTCTGGATCCCTTGATTTAACCATAAGACCATTATCATCGTAAGCTGCAATTGTCATAAAAACAGGCTATCCACCTGACCAATCCCATTTTAGGACCTTTTTTGGGGGTGGCTATTATCAAACATTGAAAAAAGGTTGCCAAATCAAGTTGGACAAGTAGGTGAACCACTTTACAATCGTCACCACATATACCTGTAACAGGGTAAGGCTCTATTATAAGATGTGTCGATCTGCTGGGGCATTCTGGGAGTTGAAGTCCATGCATCTTTTGAACGTCACCCAAGTTTGAAAAAATGAAAAAAACTGCAGGAGTAGGCCCTAACAGAAATCTAGAAAGCCACTCAGCCTGCTGTTGTAAACGAAAAGTCGCTTTTTCGATGAACGCAAGAATCACCCTGTATAAATTAGATTTTTTGAAGACAAGGATTGTGCACTGGCTTTTTGTACTCGTTGTGCTCATTTTTTTTTTCTTTTGCTATTTTCCCGGCTTGGCTCCACTGGGCTCAGATGAATGATTGCGCATCCAGTAAAAAGTAAAATTTCCAAAAAAACGGCAGGCCACTTCGTGCACTCGTGTCATCTGGATTTGAACATAGCCTGGTGCGATGTTTCGCTCATATGGACCGGCATTTTTGTTAATGTCCATAAACTTTTTTTACGCTTTGTGTTAAAGCCACAAGTGGTTTTAGCTGTCGGTAATGAGCAGAGCTGCCATCTAGCCTGGACGCTGCAAATGTTTGTAAGGAAAGAATATAGATAGTACTAGAACTAAGGAGAAATTTCCTGATAGTTAGAATCAAGATAGTTAGAATCAAGTTAGATAGTTAGAATCAAGTTAGAATTCCTGATAGTTAGAATCAAGATCACGCGAAGTATTAATACCACTCTACA